TAGTCTATAGTCTAGTCTATAGTTCTAGTCTATAGTCTAGTCTATAGTATAGTCTATAGTCTAGTCTATAGTCTAGTCTATAGTCTAGTCTAGTCTAGTCTATAGTCTAGTCTATAGTCTAGTCTATAGTCTAGTCTATAGTCTAGTCTATAGTCTAGTCTATAGTCCTAGTCTATAGTCTAGTCTATATCTAGTCTATAGTCTAGTCTATAGTCTAGTCTATAGTCTAGTCTATAGTCTAGTCTATAGTCTAGTCTATAGTCTAGTCTATAGTCTAGTCTATAGTCTAGTCTATAGTCTAGTCTATAGTCTAGTCTATAGTCTAGTCTATAGTCTAGTCTATAGTCTAGTCTATAGTCTAGTCTATAGTCTAGTCTATAGTCTAGTCTGATAGTCTAGTCTATAGTCTAGCTATAGTCTAGTCTATAGTCTAGTCTATAGTCTAGTCCTATCGTCTAGTCTAGTCTAAGTCTAGTCTATAGTCTAGTCAATAGTCTAGTCTATAGTCTAGTCTATAGTCTAGTCTAGTCTATAGTCTGGTCTATGATCTAGTTTATAGTCTAGTCTATAGTCTAGTCTGTTGTCTAGTCTGTAGTCTATTTTATAGTCTAGTCTATAGTCTAGTTTATAGTCTTTAATATATTATACAGTCATAGTCTGGTTAACAGACTAGTCTGGTTAACTAGACTATACACTAGACTATAGACTAGACTATAGACTAGACTATAGACTAGACTATAGACTAGACTATAGACTAGAATATAGACTAGACTATAGACTAGACTATAGACTAGACTATAGACTAGACTATAGACTAGACTATAGACTAGACTATAGACTAGACTATAGACTAGACTATAGACTAGACTATAGACTAGACTATAGACTAGACTATAGACTAGACTATAGACTAGACTATAGACTAGACTATAGACTAGACTATAGACTACGACTATAGACTATAGACTAGACTATAGACTAGACTATAGACTAGACTAGACTAGACTATAGACTAGACTATAGACTAGACTATAGACTAGACTATAGACTAGACTATAGACTAGACTATAGACTAGACTATAGACTAGACTATAGACTAGACTATAGACTAGACTATAGACTAGACTATAGACTAGACTATAGACTAGACTATAGACTAGACTATAGACTAGACTATAGACTAGACTATAGACTAGACTATAGACTAGACTATAGACTAGACTATAGACTAGACTAGACTAGACTGACTAGACTAGACTAGACTAGGGACTAGATTATAGACCAGACTATTACTATTTTCACATTAAAATTTCCATGAGTGTATGATCACTCAACACATGATCAGCATCCATGAAGACAAATGAACTTTATAAAGAATCTATTGCTAATAAAAAACAGAAATAAGTAAAAAGAAATTTAGATCAAATTTCATATTTCCATTCCCAACCACTATAGACCAAGTAATAACTCTTAATAATGAAATACAAATTACTTAGGTAATCCAATTGAACCAAGTCTTCAACAAAATTCTTTCACATTTTACACGTCAACTTTTTTTTCCCTGCAACCTTGTTATGGGAGTTGATTTTTAAAGGAATCTAATACGAAAAGTATCAATTACTTATCTAATGGAATTTCAAAGAAAATAATGTAAGAGAAAATAATCGGGGTTATTGCTTGTTTTTCTATATGGAGTGGTTTCAACAAATCATTGCATATTGTTTTCTTGAATAGAGCAGTTTATAATTTATCTCAAATTAATCGTTTTTTTTATTCACAACATATTTTAGCATTTTAATCTCCTATTAGCAACCTACAACACTTGAAGCAAAAAAAAAAAAACGTTAAACTGTAATCTTTTGGCACGTTCCATAATGTGGCAATGATCTCAATTGTTTGGCTGGTAAAATGTATAGAGGGTATTTAAAAAGGAGATGTTATTATTGTTAAAAAAAATAAACAGGACTATTCATGTGACTGGTTTCTTAGGGAAGGAAGATGTTGTCTTCCATGAATGAGGGAATAGTTTTTAGAGATTATTTATTTAGTAAATAATCTATCTCAAAAGTTTCCACATACGGCAAAGAAATATTCAAACTATTATTTAAAACATAAAACTAAAATGTTTACACTTCTTAAGTAAATATTTATTTAGATCTTATCACATATTTTATAATATCGCATCTAACTAAATATTTATTTAACCGACTTAGTTCTAAGTAAATACATAATGGCTCTTATTTTTATATTAAAAACTTACACTATAAAAACTCCAGCATTTCCTAGAATTAGTAACAGAAACCAATTGAAAATTCAAACTATATCATCATGCATTTATTAAATATTTTCGTTTTGCTCCTGGTCCTTTGTGGCAGTTTTATTTCAACTATATGGGCCAAAGACCCTATTGTAAAGGGAACTACTGCAGTTGATCCTAGTACTACTGACGTAACGCCTGCAAAGGATATCACAAACCCTACCACTTCACCAACAACGCTAAAGCCAACAACAACAACAGTAAAACCAAAAGCAACTCCCAACAGGAAGAAGGTGATAGTAAGCAATTTAAAGTATACGGCTAAACGTACAATTAAACGTGGCGGTAAGAATGGCAATAAGCTGTGAGGGAAGTATGCTGATCAATATCTGAATGCTACCTGAATGCAGTCGGAGGCTTATAATATTATATGCAAATGTTAAGTTTAAAAATATTAAATTATTTAAAAATAAAAATTATCCTCGAAAAAATATAGTAAATCTGTGTTTGACTCTTAATAAAAAACTAACTAAACTAACTAACTAACTAACTAACTAACTAACTAACTAACTAACTAACTAACTAACTAACTACTAACTAACTAACTAACTAACTACTAACTACTAACTAACTAACTAACTAACTAACTAACTAACTAACTAACTAACTAACTAACTAACTACTAACTAACTAACTAACTAACTAACTAACTAACTAACTAACTAACTAACTAACTAACTAACTAACTAACTAACTAACTAACTAACTAACTAACTAACTAACTAACTACTAACTAACTAACTAACTAACTAACTAACTAACTAACTAACTAACTAACTAACTAACTAACTAACTAACTAACTAACTAACTAACTAACTAACTAACTAACTAACTAACTAACTAACTAACTAACTAACTAACTAACTAACTAACTAACTAACTAACTAACTAACTACTAACTAACTAACTAACTAACTAACTAACTAACTAACTAACTAACTAACTAACTAACTAACTAACTAACTAACTACTAACTAACTAACTAACTAACTAACTAACTAACTAACTAACTAACTAACTAACTAACTAACTAACTAACTAACTAACTAACTAACTAACTAACTAACTAACTAACTAACTAACTAACTAACTAACTAACTAACTAACTAACTAACTAACTACTAACTAACTAACTAACTAACTAACTAACTAACTAACTAACTAACTAACTAACTAACTAACTACTAACTAACTAACTAACTAACTAACTAACTAACTAACTAACTAACTAACTAACTAACTAACTAACTAACTAACTAACTAACTAACTAACTAACTAACTAACTAACTAACTAACTAACTAACTAACTAACTAACTAACTAACTAACTAACTACTAACTAACTAACTAACTAACTAACTAACTAACTAACTAACTAACTAACTAACTAACTAACTAACTAACTAACTAACTAACTAACTAACTAACTAACTAACTAACTAACTAACTAACTACTAACTAACTAACTAACTAACTAACTAACTAACTAACTAACTAACTAACTAACTACTAACTAACTAACTAACTAACTAACTAACTAACTAACTAACTAACTAACTAACTAACTAACTAACTAACTAACTAACTAACTAACTAACTAACTAACTAACTAACTACTAACTAACTAACTAACTAACTAACTAACTAACTAACTAACTACTAACTAACTAACTAACTAACTAACTACTAACTACTACTAAACTAACTAACTAACTAAACTAAAAACTAACTAACTAACAACTAACTAACTAAACTACTAACTAACTAACTAACTACTAACTAACTAACAACTAACTAACCTACTACTAACTAACTACTAACTAACTAACTAACTAACTAACTAACTAACTACTAACTAACTAACTAACTACTACTAACTAACTATAACTACTAACTAACTAACTAACTAACGAACTAACTAACTAACTAACTAAACTAACTACTAACTACTAACTAACTAACTAACTAACTAACTAACCACTAACTAACTAACTAACTAACTAACTACTAACTAACTCTAACTAACTAACTAACTAACTAACTAACTACTAACTAACTACTAACTAACTAACTAACTAACTAACTAACTAACTAACTAACTAACTAACTAAACTAACTAACTTAACTAACTAACTAACTACTAACTAACTAACTAACTAACTATAACTAACTAACTAACTAACTAACTAACTAACTAACTAACTAACTAACTAACTAACTAACTAACTAACTAACTAACTAACTAACTAACTAACCAACTAACTAACTAAGAAAAAATTATAAATAACTAGTTTACCCAGTGTGCCCCACTACACTAAAAACCACATTCTCATACTTTTAATACTTACTATGTATGTGGGCGTGGCACTAGCTGCTAACTACAAAACATTTAATTTTTTTAACATTTTTTATCTACATATACATATGTATGTATATTTGGGGTAACTTTTAGGAATGAAAACGATGTGTTATCAAAGTGACAACGATATGTTGTCAAATAGAACGTTGCGTTGGTGAAATGACAAATGACATTTCGGTACTTTTCTACCGGTTTTCCCTCTTTATAGAACACTACCTAGCTTTAGTCGACATTTACTTGTGAGTATGAGAGAAAATCCTTATTATTTCATTTTGAGTCAAACACATTTTTCTTACAATTCTTCTAAGATAATTTTTTTTGTTTCTTAAAACTTATAAAATATTGTTATTTTACTACATAACATTTGCAAATAATTTATTAAATCATTTTAGACATCAGTGATCCACATATTAATCTATTTTCATCAAAATTTATTGCCTTTTTTACCGCCACGTTTAATTGTACGTTTGGCCGTATACTTTAAATTTGTCACTTTCACCTTCTTCCTGTTGGGAGTTGCTTTTGGTTTTGCTGTTGTTGTTGGCTTTGGCGTTGTGGATGAAACGTTGGAGTTTGTGATCATCTTCTCAGTTGTTACATCTGAAGATGTAGTATCATCTGTACTAGTTGCGGCTTCAGGTGTAGGAGGCTCTTGTGCACATAAAATTGGAATAAAACTGCCACAAAGGACGAGGAATAATACGAAAATATTAAATAATTGCATGATGATTAAGTTTGAATTTTCAATTCCTTTCTGTTGGTGATTTTTGGATATTGTGAAGCTTTTATAGCGAACATTTTTAATATAAGAGCCATTATGTATGTACATAGTTCTAACTCGGTTAAATAAATATTTAGTTAGATGCGATATCATAAAATATGTGAGACGATCTATATAAATATTTACTTTTAAAGTTTAAACATTTTGTTTTCATGTTATAAATAATAGTCTGAATTGTTTGCATTATTTGGATGGTTTTAAGATAGAATTTTTACTAATGAAGACACCATTCCATGGCCTCATCAATCGACTAGGGTATAATGCAATAAGCTAATCAAAAGACTAATGCTAGTTTATAGACCACTCAAAAGGCTATTTCATATACTACTACTAGTGCATTACTAATCGATAGATTATTCCATAGACTAGTCATAGATTAGTCAATATATAAAACAATAGACTAGTCTTTAGACTAGAAAACGGACAAGTCCATGAACTAGTCAACAGGAAAGCTTTTAGATTAGTAAGTCTACGGACTTGTCAACAGGTTAGATAGGTCAGTCCAGATCATACTCAGCCAATAGACCTATTAAAAGACTAGTTCATTGACCAGACCATAGACTTAAAAGTCTATAGTCAACACCTCATTAGCGACTATGGTCTGAGGTGAAGTCAGAAATATAGTTAATATTCTTAATCTTATAGAATGAAGAACTTAAAACACTCTTTTTGTAATACCCTTTACATAAGTATTTTTTTACTCTAATGGATAATTGTTGTTAAATTTAGATTTCATTTATTTAGTTGTATTTTTTTCGGGAGATTTAAATCTAATGCACATTTTCCATAGATCCATTCACTTGTTTTTGTTATACTTTTTTCTTCTTTTAATAAAAATTAAATTATTTTAAACATCTTGACTTTTTTACACCCACACGTTCACGTATGATTAGTTATACATTGTGTAAGTACATGAAAATATTTTCCTTCATTTTAACAATTACAAGCTCTTTGCTGAAGAACTCGAGCAATCTAATCTCTTGCCACAGTAGCAAACCCCGACAAGGAAAATGCAATCACTGGTCTAAAGTCAATAGGAGGGGTGACAAACCCCAACATCAGGTGAAATCAATCTTCCGGTATACCGGAATGTGACCACCCTTATGATGCGCTATACTCGTATTTTTAAGGCAGTAGTGAGCGTTAAAGTAATTTTCTGAGGGGGGCCTTATATAGAAAGTAGAGTTTTGGTAGAGAGATTTTAACCTGCTCATGTCGAATTTCATCGCTATACTCTTACTATTAAGGCAGTAAAGAGCGTTAAAGTAATTTTCTGAAGGGGACCTTATATAGATCCCCATTCGGAAGATAGATTTTTGATAAAGAGAAACTTACTTATATCGACTTTCAGCGCTAGACTCGTATTTTTAAACCAATAACGGGCGTTAAAATCATTTTTTTTTGAGGGGACCATATTTGAGGGGTAGGGTCATTAATGAACCGATCCTCATAAAATGTGCTAGAGAGAATCTGGCTGAAATGAAACTTATTTATGTTGAATTTCATCGCTATACTGTTAAAGTACTTTTTCGGGGGTCACTTGTTTGGGTTCTATGCGAAAACGTGGACCGATAAAAATTTCAACTCTCTAGCTCTTTCTGCTCGGACTCTATCGTGCTTTCAAGAGACAGACAGACGGACGGGCGGACAGGCATGGCTAGATCGTCTTAGAATTTAATAAGGACCCAGAATATATATACTTTTCAGGGTCAATGATCAATATTCCGATGTGTTACAAACGGAATGACAAAATCAATATACCCCCATCTTTTTTGATGGTGGGTATTGAGTATTGATTGTATAAAAAGATCAATCCAATTGAGAAATTAACGAAAATCTGAGATCACTGAAATGTTCGGCCATTGATCCATAAATAAAGACCCAATTAAGAAATTAACCAAAAACCTGTGAACACTTCAAATTTGATCAATTCATAATACAAAAAATTAATATTTATACGAAGAACCTAAAATTGCTGATAGAACGTGAAAGCGCTCCAATTAAGAACAACTACATAGGAAGTATTTATCCAGCATTTTAGTTAAGAATAAAGTACAGACACGCTAGTCAGAAATGTAGTCTGAAAATTTTATATAAAATGGACCTAAAAAGTCTTCCATGTCAATAGAGAATTTGAGATGCACACAAAAACCGATAACCGATTAAATTTGTGTTCGAACGACAAATGTTTAAAAACTCTAACCTCTAATAATAATAACATTAACATTTATTTTACTTCAACTTATGTTGAATAGACAACATTATGTATTATTAACATTATAGGTTAAATAAAAATTCACATATAGATGGCGCTAACTTTAAAATATCCAATATCACAACCATTTGAGAGAATTAACAGAGGTGAAGTTGTAATTGAAAAGTTAAGGTATTATTAATAATGTTATCGATTAATACTACAAATACAATTGACCACTTAACTTATGAATTACCCGCCAAAAACTTCAAAAATTTCGGCTAAATTGCTTGTAGATCTTTAAATTACTCATTTTTTGAAAAAAGCTAGAATCTGCGATCACTTTAATTTTTTATAAAAAATAAATTTGAAATATGAAAAACTTAAAACCAGCTGTAGATCCTTAAATGACACTCCAATTGAGAAAAAAGGAAACATCTGCAATCACTTTAGTTTTCCAAGAAAATCGAATTTTTATATAGAAAAGCTGAGATTATCTTTAAATATCGCTCCAAATAAGCAAAAAACCACGATCACTTATTTTTGTAATGGGAAATCTTTATTTAGAAATAATAATGTATTAAACTGGGTCCGAATTAATGCAGACTTGATCGAGTTAAATTGATATTGATCATTATTCGATCGTGTATAAAAATCAACTTTTTCTTCATAAAATTCAATCCCTTAGCAAATATTCAAATAAGATCCACAACATATAAGAAGTCAAAATAGTATTAGCTATCCGACTGTTCTTTAACCAAACTCGTTCATCACTTTAGAACTTTGTTGTCATTTATGGAATTCTTTACGATCAATTTATTGTTTCACATTCTACCTTTTTCGAAGAATTAACCACAATTTGATTGCGTCTTTGTGAAATAAAAGAGTATTTTTTATTTTTTTTTTGTTTATAACGTATTAACAAATTGAATTAACTTTTAGCACTCTTTTTGATTAAGACAACAAAACACACTTTGTGTTTGAAGGGGATTTACATGCAAGTTGGCTGCCTGCCCGGTAGTTGATTTTTAAGTAGAATTTAAAAAGGTATGATTCAGTCTGTATGTGTATAAGCCAGATTAGAATGTTTCGCTGACAGTGTGGAACTAATTTAAAAGTACCTAATGATTTTGTGGTTAAAACTGCAGTTAGTGTTTATACACAGCTCTCACGCTTAAGCTCCAGCTGCTCTAAAAAGAGGCATCTCTCGTTTAGGCTGTATATTGAGACTGTATGTTGAGACTGTTCTTTTTTGCGCTTAAACACTGGCTGCTCTATATATAGAAACGTATCTTGATTAAGCTCCAGCTTTTGCAGAGAAATTTCTCACCTAAAATCCAACTTTCGCTTTAGTGACAGCAGATCTATATACTGCTCTCGCTTCAGCTATATTTATATAGCGGCACATCTCTCGTTTAAGCTTTAGCTGCACAATATAATGAACTCTTTAGCTTTAGGTCAAGCTGCTTCTCTTATTTAAGCTCCGGAGCCTACACTCATACTCCATAGAGACATCTCTCGCATAAGTTCCAGCAGCTATTCCTAAAAAAATTATACAACTTAGGGTCCCACTGCTCTATATATAGAGAAATCTCTCATGTTTATGGTCATGCTGATTTATATAGTGGCTTCTCTCAAATTAGATCAAGCTCCTCTATATAGAGCCTTCCTCAGAGAAGTCTCTCGCTTATGCTCTAGCTGCTCTTTATAGAAAACTCTCATGCTTAAGGTTAGTGGCTGCTCTTAAATAAGCTCAAGCTTCTCTATATAGAGCCTTTTTTAAGCTCTCTATATATAGAGAGACATATGCTCTATAAAGAGTCATCTCAATATTCTCTATATATGGAGACTGCTCTCTCGCTTAAGCTCAAACTGATCTATAGAAAGTGATCTTTCCTGTAAGCTTAATCTTCTCAATATATAGAGACTTCTTTCTGTTGCGTCTTTCTCTCGCTTAAGCTGATACTCGCTTAAGTTCCAGCAGCTATTCCTAAAAAAATTATCCAACTTAGGCTCCATCTGCTCTATATATAGAACAGCTTATGCTCCAACTGTTCTTATAGAAAACTCTCATGCTTAAGGTCATGCTGATGTATATAGTGGCTTCTCTTAAATAAGCTCAAACTCCTCTATATAGAGCCTATCTCAGAGAAATCTTTCGCTTATGCTCTAGCTACTCTTTATAGAAAACTCTCATGCTTAAGGTTAGTGGTTGCTCTCAAATAAGCTTAAGCTGCTATATATAGAGAATTTCTCACATAAGTTTTCTACTTAAGCGATATATGCTCCATAAAGAGCCATTTCTAGCTTAGTCTCAATGTTCTCAATATATAGAGACTGCTCTCTCGCTTAAGCTCAAACTGATCTATAGAAAGTGATCTTTCGTGTAAGCTTAATCTTCCCAATATATGGAGACTTTTTCTGTTGCTTAAACTGATTTAAGTTGAAAAAATATTAAACTATTGCAATTTTTTTTACATTTATAAAAGTACCAAAATATACAAAACGTACTAATTTTAACACTTTTAAAAGTACTTTAAGTTCATCACTGATCGAAACGAGTATAACACAAATAAAAACAAAATAAATTCACATCTAAATAAATAACCAATTCTTATTTAAAGAGAATCGTATGTATACTTTCTCTCTTTTTCTACTCTTAGAGTAAATAAATTTAAAGATGCTCCCTAAACCAGCCACTAACTATAAAATCTAAAATTCATTTGAAAACGAGTTCAGTTTTAAATAAGAAGTTATTGTAAGCAAGTGATCGTGTTGCAAAAATGTCTAAAATAATTCTTACGTTTTTAACTATAACTTCCATAATTTATATTGGACTTGCTAAAAAGAACAACGACGATTGTCCACGCATTAAACTAAAACGTCAATGGGGTGGTCAATTAAGTAAAATTATAGATTACCGTCCTATACCCATTAAATATGTGATCATACATCATACTGTTACACCGGAGTGTAGAACATTTTTAAAATGTTCGGATATTTTGCAAAATATGCAATATTATCATATCAATGATTTGGAATATAATGATATTGGTTACAAGTAAGTTCCTAGTACTTTAGACATGATAAGAAATCTTTTTTGAAAATTCCCCCAGAGCTTATCAGTGTGTGATGCTTATCAGTTGTTTAATAACTAGGAATTGTTTTTAATTTAAATTTTTAATTACACAGTTTCCTAATTGGCAATGATGGTGTGGTATATGAGGGTACAGGTTGGCGTGTGGCGGGTGCTCATACCTATGGTTATAATACCAATGGCACGGGCATAGCTTTTATAGGCAATTATAGTGGTATGTAGTTTAAACTTTGAGCATAATTTAGTTTTTTTTAACTATTTTTGTTCTTACTTTTTTCAGCCAAATTACCCACCGAAATGGCTTTGAATGCTGCCAAAAAACTTTTGGAGTGTGGCGTTAAGAATGGTGAATTGGATCCAAATTATGAATTGTTTGCTGCTTCACAGGTTTCTTCCACCAAAAGTCCCGGTTTGATTTTATACAATGAAATTCAAGATTGGGATCATTGGTCTCCTCATGCTGAATAATTTAATCGTTTACTAAGTTTTATTACTCAGTCAATTTAAGATAATTTAAGTTTAAATAAAATATTATTAGAATTTAAAAAAATAGTATGATAATCTGTGCCATCTCTTGCTTAAGCTCACTAGATTACTAACAAGTTTTTGGAGCTTTTTTAGCGTTGAGGGTAATCTGCTCCTAAGCTGCTCTATATAGAATCCACTTACTCTACAGAGATTTATCTCTTTTTAAAGCAACATCTTCTCTGTATAGAGTATTCTCTCGCTTAAGTTTAGGGGGTTATCAATCGCCCAAACTGCTCTATAAAGAGTCTACTTTCGCTTAAGTTTAATATGGTCTAGTTATCAAGTTATCTCTCCCTTAAGCCAAAGCTGCTGAAGTTCATTCTCGTTTAAGCTCAAGCTGCTCCATATAGAGCTTTTTCCTAAGATATAAAATCCACTCGCTTATTTTCAAGTGGCTCTACATAGATTCATCTCCTTCTTAAGCTAAATCTTTTCTATGTAGATCCTTGTAGGGTAAACACAAACTACTCTACATAGAATGCACTCTCGCTTAAATTTAAGCTACCCTATATAAAGTCCATTCTCGCTTAAGCTCAAGCTGTCCTAAATAGAGCTTTTACTCCCTCATTCAGCAACGCTATATATAGAACCTTTTCTCGCTTATGCTCCATCTGCTCTATATAAAGAACCCTCTCTTACTTAAGCTGCAGCTGTCCTAGATATAGAGCCTTCTCTCGATTAAGATCCAGCTACCCTATATATAGAGCCTTCTCTCTTCTAAACTCAAGTAGCATTTAGAAACTACTCTCATTTAAGCTACTGACTGTCCACATGGAGTCATCTCTCGCTAAAGCTTTTATAAGGAGTAATCTCTCGCTTGGGCTGAAGCTCAAGCTGATATATAAAGAGAACTACATCGGAGCCTTTTCTCGCTTAAGATCCACCTGCCCCATATAAAGTAAACCCTTGCTTAAGCTGACATACATATAGAACCTTCTATCGCTTAAGCTCCTGCTGCTCTATATATAGAGCCTTCTCTCGCTTAAGCTCCAGCTGCTCTATATATATAGGGCCTCTTCTCGCTTAAGCTGCTGCTGTTATATATATAGAGCCTTATGTCGCTTAAGCATAAGCTCCTGCTGCTCTATTTAAGCTCCAGTGCACTATATATAGAGCCTTCTCTCGTGTAAGCTCCAGATGCTCTATATATAGAGACTTCTCTCGCTTAAGCTCCAGATGCTCAATATACGGAGCCTTCTCTCGCTTAAGCTCCAGCTGCTCTATAGAGTCTTATCTCGCTTAAGCTGCATCTGCTCTATATATAAATCTTTCTTTCGCTTAAGCTCCTTCTGGACTATTCTCCTCTCACACTGAAGCTCTATCTGTTTAAGCTTTGGCATAGGCAAGAGTAGACTTCATTAAGTGTTGCTTAATATTATGCTAAATTTGACTTTATGAGCTTAAGCTATAAAAAGTAATCTCTCGCTTAAGTTCAGGCTGTCATCTCTTGTTTAAGCCAAACCTAGCTTAAGCCCAAGCTGCCCTATATAGAAACTTCTCTCGCTTTTTTATATATAATAGACCATTCTCTCACTCTAGGTATTCTAAAGTGCAGGTTTGTGATCAGTTCTGTTTAATGTTGAAACTACACATTAAATTCCTCAAAGAATTTATTATGATTGGGATAGAAATAAATGTGTCATCGGTTTATTCACTGCATGCAAAGATTAAACAAATTCCGTATGACATTTCCAGTGAAATATTAAATTATTAGGGGATTCTGGGGGATTTTCTATAAAACAAAGATATTAATTAATTAAAAACTAATAATTTTTAATAACATTAATAAATAATTTAAAAACAAATCAAGCGTTTAAAAAAGAACTTATTCATCACGAACAAGTTGTGATAAAATAGGGAATCCCCGAGTAAAATCAGCTACAGAGAGGCAGAAAGATTAAAAGAGAGAGTGAGAGTTAAGTAGTCAATGACAACCAACAATTTTAACCCAAAAACTATTGACAAATGAATCCTAGTTAAAAAGGAAAACAACACCTGTTTAGCTAGTAAAAGGATTTGTTACACGAAAAAAGGACACTTGAGCTAAACAAAATAGAGAGTGAAAAGAGGGACTTTAGTTAATTTAACATAAATTACAAGGTTCATTGGTTCAGCAACACCCTGTAAATGAAACTATAGTGGACAAAACCATATGGTTTATTAGCCTTTTAGAAGGAAAATTATAAAAAGTAAACGCGACCAAGCATGAACAGGTTCAAATGACAGTTGCAAAGTAGTGCTGTCTTTATTGCTCCTACGGAGTTCTCATTGATGATGAGTGAGCATGTGCCTTCGAAGAGAAGGAACTAAAGAGAACAAAAATAATTGCGCAAAAAATTCTTATTGAAATTTATAAATTGTAAAGGAAATACATTTTGGGTTTTCCTGTAGACAAATGAAAATAAAATTTAGTTGAAATAAAACGACGGTAATGAAAACACATCCTGGGGAAAAACTAAACGGATAAACGTTACCCAAATTGTTAAATACTAAAATAGTGTGGAAAAGTGAAAAAAATAATTAAATTGTTAAAAAAAAATTGAAAACTTTAAAAATTATTTTTTAAGAAAAATTTTAAAAATTTAATAAAATGATTCTAAACATGCCCGTTAATAACGGCGCAATTAACTCCCCCGTGTCTCAAGGCCAAAATGAATATACAAATTTCCTTAAACGCAAATACTCCGAGCAGGAACTGGAGCAAAATGTTACTTCCCATACAAACACGGAATTTGAAAGCACAAACTCCCACAGCAATAATAATTGGAAAAAAAGACATATAGACCCCCAGGAGGAGCCAGGAAATTATAATCAGACTCTTAGCACCTTCAACCAAGAAACCTATAAACCCCAGCAGGAGCAGCCAACACATCATACTAATAATGAAAATCAGGATAACAATACGGGAACCTTTAATATTACAGCAAATAGTTCTTTTATCAATGATCTCTTTGCCTACGATGCCAATTTAATAGTGCCAGTATCCGTGAATAGTTTAAGTGACAGTGTTTTAGCCGAAACGGCCAACTTTAGTACACCTTCGACGGTGTGTGTTAATGCCAATGTGGACTATGATGATAACGGGGAACAATGGCAAGCTTCCGATTTATTAGAATTAGATCATCGTTATAACTCTAGTCTACAAACAGAAATATCACAATTAAATCCCACGGTAAACCTCAAGAATCAAAGCGAGGTTACCTCCTTAAACACCAATACAGTTGAGGACTTGCATCACCCAACAGCACATTGTTTTGTTCCTCCTAAATCTTTAGTTCCACAAAACCCTAAACATTTAACAACAACAACTACTGCAGCCCATTCCTCCCCTTCCTCGTCAAACACCTGCTTTACACCCGATAATCTTGAACAAGATTGTGATTTTGAGGATAAAAATCTTTCGTGGTTGTTGAATTTTAAATTCGATGAGTTTCCTCATCTTAATCCAGATGTGTCTCAACTAAATAATAGTGGTAAAAATTTTAAATCCACGGGAAATCCGGGTTTTAGTAATCTAAATAATACCTCCACTACCTATGCGACTTCAACAGTTATGACTTCGGTTTCTATGGGTAAATTGACGCATAATTCAAATTCTACGGTTAATGGTTCCTCGTTTAGTGATGGCGGCTCCAAATCCCCTAAGAATTCGAATAAAACGGGTAAAAAATTTGAGGAATTGGTAATGGAAGTAACATCGGAATTGGATGGTAATGATATGGTTGTAGCGGAAAATGTTGTCATCGAGGAGACCTCACACAGAGCGTAAGTATTAAAAGGAATCACATCAAGATTTCGAAATAAATTTTACGAAAAACAAATCTAGAGCAGTGTATAGAAAATAATAGCCTGGACCAGAGTATAGACTATAGTATGGTCCTGAGTATAGACTATAGTCTGGCCCAGAGTATAGACTATAGTCTGGCCCAGAGTATATACTATAGTCTGACCCAGAGTATAGACTATAGTCTGGCCCAGAGTATAGACTATAGTCTGGCCCAGAGTATAGACTATAGTCTGGCCCAGAGTATAGACTATAGTCTGGCCCAGAGTATAGACTATAGTCAGGCCCCGAAGTATAGACTATAGTCTGGCCCAGAGTATAGACTATAGTCTGGCCCAGAGTATAGACTATAGTCTGGCCCAGAGTATAGACTATAGTCTGGCCCAGAGTATAGACTATAGTCTGGCCCAGAGTATAGACTATAGTCTGGCCCAGAGTATAGACTATAGTCTGGCCCAGAGTATAGACTATAGTCTGGCCCAGAGTATAGACTATAGTCTGGCCCAGAGTATATATTGGCCCAGCATATAGTCTGGCCCAGAGTATAGACTATAGTCTGGCCCAGAGTATAGACTATAGTCTGGCCCAGAGTATAGACTATAGTCTGGCCCAGAGTATAGACTAAAGTCTGATACAGAATACAGACAGTCTAGTCCAGAGTATAGACTATAGTATGGTCCTGAGTATAAACTATAGTATGGTCCTGAGTATAGACTATAGTTTGACCCTGAGTATGGACTACAGTCTGGTCCAGAAAATAGACTATAATCTGTCCAGAGTATAGTCTAAGGTCTGGTCCAGAAAATAGACTATAATCTGTCCAGAGTATAGACTAAGGTCTGGTCCAGAGTATAGATTATAGCGTAATCCAGTTTAAAGATATAGTCTGGTATACAATATAGACTATAGTCTAGTAGAAAATATAGATTGTAGTTAGGTCCAGAATGGTACGAATTATAGGTTGCACTCTGGTCCATAGTATGGAATATAGTCTGTTCCAGAGTATGGACTATAGTGTGGTCCAGAGTATAAATAATAGTCTAGTCCAGAGTATATAGACTGTCAGAGTATAGACTGTAGTCAGAGTGTAGACTGTAGTCTGGTCCAGAGTATAGACTATAGTCTGGCCCAGAGTATAGACTATAGACTGGCCCAGAGTATAGACTATAGACTGGCCCAGAGTATAGACTATAGACTGGCACAGAGTATAGACTATATACTGGCCCAGAGTATAGACTATATACTGGCCCAGAGTATAGACTATATACTGGCCCAGAGTATAGACTATAGACTGGCCCAGAGTATAGACTATAATCTGGCTCAGAGTATAGACTATAGTCGTGTCCAGAGCGTGATCCAGAATGGCAGGGAGTATAGATTGTGTCATCCTGTTTAGAGGCTATAGTCTAACCCAGAGTTTAGACTATAGTCTGGTCCAAAGTGTAGACTAGTTGTAAGGATTCTTATATCACAAACATCTAATAAAAATTTAAAAATTCATAAAAATTTTCTGTCTCCTTTTTATCCATATTTACTCCTGCACCCTTGAAATATTGAACATCAACTAAAACCACCACCTCAACCTCTTTTTAAAAACATCCCCCAACATTCTATATACAACAACAACAAACCACAAATCATCAACTACGAAATCGTAAACAAAAATCCCCAATAAAAGGCCTAAGAAACCACCATTTACCTATACGGAGCTCATAGAATACGCCCTTGAGGATAAGGGTGAATTAACAGTGTCCGGCATTTATCAATGGATATCGTAAGTACATAAATTAACGCCATTTTGTTTAATTAAAATAAGATTTGAAAAAGTTAAATTATAAATCTTCTTAATTTAAAGATTTAATGAACATTTACATAATTTTCCAATATGTTTTTGTGTTTAAGGATTTGTTTAAATATTTTTGTTATTGCAACGGTTGTTAAGTTAAAACAAATATTTGTTTACTTTCTTCCTTACATATGTGTAATTATTTCTTTTCTATATGGTTTGAGTAAAATGTTGCAATAATTTATGACTTTTGATTTGGGTTTTTGTTTTAACTTAGAAAATTGTTGCTGCTGTCGGTTGCTCTTTTGCAAGGTTTTAAGGAATTTTGTTCTTAAAACTTTATTTGTTTTGCAAAACATTTTCAACAAGTTGCTAATAAATTGAATGTCAAATATATTAAGAAATTTTAATGTTGATGGGGAATTTCCATAAGAAGAGTAAGAGTTTTAAATTCGAAGAAATTTTAATATTTAAAGTAGTTTTGAAATTTGTTTGAAATCAAAATCCTATACATTTTCTGTTTAGAAAACCCTTTAGATAATTTTACAAGTATTTATTACAGATAGTTCAGACATTACAGATAGTTAAGCGAAACTATTTATACAATTCATTTCAAATGAAATAGTTTCTCAAGATCCCGGTTAATACAGTTTGAGTTTCAACAGAATCCTTTAAGAAATCCGAATTTGTTCAATATTTTGATTAAATTTAAAATGAAATAGGTAATATTCAATTTAATCATGGTCCTGGAATTAATTCAATGTTCCGAGTACTTCCCTACTCGAAGCTAGTGCGACTCTCAGTTGACCTAACAAGACTTATAAATAAAATTGTATTTGCGCAGTTATAATGCCTCAAATATAACCATAAACGGGACTATGCTATAGGACACGATATCTCGAAAACCAGATGTGATGTGATGAAGAAATCGTGAGGATTCGAATTCAACGTACCGCAGTGCAATAATTTTGAAAAGTATACTTCCGTCTCCGAGTTAAAAATTTAAATAATGTTTGGTAATAGATGGCGACTTGAAATCCAAAGGTTTTTATCATAACTTTGGACTGACTGAAGAGTAGTTTACAACCCATCAACACCCTTATAACTATATCAAATCCATCTCAGATTAAACATTTAAAGACTCAAGTAGTTGGCATGATAGAAATATGATTGCGTTGTTCGTTGCATCAAAAGATATGTAGTTTTTTAATATCGGGCAGAATGTGAGGGTTTTGAATATCTCCACGAGATAATTGCGGGGTAAGCTCAGCTCTCCTGAATAATACCATTCAAGACTTGCAGCATCTTTTCTAAAGAATTGTGGAAACTATAACTGGGCCTACTAATGCTAATAGTTCCCTTCGAAGAAAACTCTAGATTACTGTTCATGGAGGTGATAACAATCGAAAAGGTATCAAGGTTTTATGACAAATATAATCTTTAGAATGAGTGCCGTTAAAGAAGTCTTCTTGAACGAGCGCTCTAACTCATCCATTAGTAAATCTTTCTCTTTTATTATGTTATTTAGAGAACAACTTGATGGCCTCTAGTTTAGCTTTCGTTTTCTTGCTCTGCGGGAAACAAAGATAACTCTTCTGAACCAGAGATAGTATAACATCAGTAGTATGGCAGCAGCGCTCTTCGATGCTGCCATACTGCCAAGATATTTGATAAAGTGTGCTGCACTTAGGCGATTAGCCTTTAGTGTCGGTAACAATTTCTCTAGATTTATTTCGAGCTTTCCCATGACTTCTTATAGATGGGACCTCATCAAACGAATTCGAGATTCCGTTCTTTCCACCAGCCCCTGTTACTTATTTTCAGAAACCTTCTATGTCAATCTTACAACTCACTACGTACATCCCTTACAAAACGACAGAAAGTAGAATACAACTCTCATAGATATGCCGGAGCATCGATGCTTATTTTAAAACTAGTCAACCGCGTAAGGGGGAAGGCAATGAACTTATAATTGATAGTTGAGTATCCAACTCGAATGGTTCACTGAAGTACGGTAGCAACGTGGAGTTTCATTCAGGGGTAAGGCTCCATTTCTTTCCAACGCACCCTATTACTTATTTTCAAAGCTTCCAACTCCCTACTACTTACATCCCTTATAAACGACAGTAAGGGGAATACAACTCTCATAGATGTGCCGGAGCTTCGATACCTATTTTGAAACTAATCGACAGGGTAGGGGAGAAGGCAATGGTGGTTATCTCTGACAGTTGAGTATCCAACTCTAATGGTTCACTGAAGTACCGTCGCAACATGGATGTTAATTCACATTTTTATGGAATATATTCCTCTGAAAATATGGAACTAGTTCCCATATATTATTCACACCCATTTGTAGTCGATTGGCTAATGGAACGCACAACACATTTCAGGCGAAATTCATTATTCAGACGTATTTCCTGCCATTTTCCATGTAAGAGGATTTAAATAAAATGTTCAACAACACTACTCTCTTTATCTTCCTTCCCACAAGCTGATTGCTGGTATAAGGAACAAAATCGATAGCCTTACATATCAATATCATCGAGGTGTAAATTAAGAATTGAACCATTGATCCTATAGGTTGTTTTAACGAACTTTATTGGTGAATAGTTGTTCTATTCTTCATTCTTTCTAAACTTCTGTATAGATGATCTTGATATGCCAACAGATCTTTATTGCAGCTCTTCACATCCGTCAGATATTCCATGAAACTCTTAACAATCGTCATGTTTTTTACAAATTATTTTCAAAATTCCACAAAATTTTCCCCTTTATTCCCATACATATCATAATTACTTCATTATTGCCTTCAAAAAAACTGCTCTTTAAACTTAAACCCTCAATTATAACCTCTATTATCACAATAAAAAAGTGATGATAGTCACCGATCCTCCTACCTCTCTAACTGCTTTGCAATTCGCACTAAACGATTATAAAAATTTTCAAAAGCATTGAAGCATGTTTGGCACCCCATCAATGAATGGGTAAGCAACCTAAACGATTATAATTTAAAATGCATAAAATTAACCGGAAAGGACAAGGCAATGAACGGTCAATGAGGAAATTTAACAGAAAACAATGAAATATTTTTAATATCCGTTTAATTTTTTTTTAAACTACAACACATGGTCCTACAACCAACTACAGCCCACCTTTATCTATCAATAAAACCAATATCTATGAAACATGTGACACCTGATCCTCCAACACACCGAAAAAAAGGACACAAAACAATTCAAGCGTGTTGAGGGCCAAAGGAGAGGAAGCTAGGAAATAAGTAAAATTTAAACGTCACGTGGCGGGTTTGTAGTTTTTCTTAGTTAAAAAACTTAAAGAATTTCATTACAATTACAAATTATATGTACATACGTCAGCAACAACTACCTGTTCATAGACAGACGCACTGGCTATACGACTGACAAGTCGTTGCGTCACATAAACACATTCTTATGTTAGTAACTAAATAACTACCCTTAAAATTATAGGTTTCATATACTCACTCCTTTTTGTAATTTGTTGTCTTTAATGTAAATCATCGTTAAACGTTTTGTCGGGCGCTGGAAATAGTGGAAAAACATGAAAAAAATATTAATTGCTTTTATTACCATCATTATAGAGAAAATATAAATACGAAATACGACTACGATATACATGAGAACTACTTTATGGAGAATATTTATTAAGGTGCCTCTAAGTTTTCTTAGCTTGGTATCTGTTGAAACTCTGGATATTCATTATATTTTCTATCGAAAATCTGGTCAGATTTTCCACAAAAAATCTTAACATTAATCAATATTACCTCTTGTCAGATTTCCTTTCGAAACATCTGACATTTGAAAGATTTTCTATAACAACTCTTGATTTCCGTCAGATTTTCCAACGAAACTCTGAAAATTCATTTGATTTTCCTTCACAACCCCTAATATTTGTCAGATTTTCTAGCGGAACTCTTGACAGCCTTCAGATTTTATATCAAAACTCTTGATTTCCGTCAGATTTTCCATCGAAACTCTGGATGTTCGTTAAATTTTTCATCGCAACTCCCTGAATTATACATATTTTTTATCAAACCCCTAATATTCATCAGATTTAATGCGAAACTTTGAACTATCGGAACTCTCTTGACATCAGTCAAATATTCTATTAATATTCCTAATGTTGGTCAGATTTACTAACAATACTCTTGGTATTCCTCAGATTATCTATAGGAAATCTATACTCATTGTTCAGATTTTCTGTCGATACTCTTGGGTCTATCATATTTTCTGTGGAAAACCTTCACATCCTTAAAATTTTCTACCGAAAATCTTGACTTCTGTCAGACATCTTTTGCGCAACTCTGGATATTCTTGAGATTTTCTACAGAAACTCAATCTCTGAACATTCATCAGTTTTTCTATCGAAACTCTTAAGATTTTTCAGATTTTCAATCGTAACTCTTTCGTTCTTCATATTTTCTATTGGAAATCGTTAAGTCCCTAATATTTTCTACCCAAAATCTTGACTTCAGTCAGACTTCTTTTACGCAACTCAGGATATTTGTTAGACTCTTAAAATTCGTCAGATTTTCTATCGAAATTCTGAACATTCTTCATATTTTCGATCGAAACTCTTAACATTTGTCAGATTTGCTATTGAAACTCTTGAAATTACTGACATTCTTCCGATTTTCTATGAAAAATCTTGACTTTAGTCAGACTTTCTATCAAAACTCTGGATATTCATCATATTTTGTAGCTAAACTCTGGACAATTGTCAGGTCTATAGAAACTCTAGACTCTTCTAATATTTTCTATCAAACACTAGACCTGAATCAGCAGATCTTTAAAGAAAGCCTCTTATCAGATATTCTATAGGAACTCTGTTTCCTTTAAAAACTCTTAAATCTCAAATTGGACTTCAGCATTATAATACTTAATCCCATCTTAATACATCCAACTTTAATATGAAAAATGAAATTAATTAACAACTTCAATCTCCCCCTTTCA